ATGACAAAGATTCTTTGCTTGGCCAAACTTTAGTCAGGCTTCCAAACCCTTTCCTAAATCCATCTGTGTACTTCTTTGTGAAATTCCATCTTAACCAAGAGCCTGGCTAAGTGGCTTACGCAAGAACCCCCATATCTAATTTGATCATCCTTCTCCTCCACCATCCCCCAGGTGACGTCTGATCACCTTCGCCAGTCTTCAGCAAGAATCCTGTTAGGTTGGTTTAAGCCAGAGAACTCCTTACCCCTTATGCTTCCTTTTAGAAATTTTCCATCTACTGACCCCCACCTGGCTCTTTGGCTATAAATTCCTACTTCCCCATGCTGTATTGAAATTGAACTCAATCTTTCCTCTTCCATTGCAAGAACCCATTGCAGTGGTCCCTATACCTATGGCGATGGTCCGAATGGTCTTCCTGAGCTTTATCGAGCATCACTGAGTAATTTTTATTTAACATGTAACCCAAAGTCACAAGGGACCATCTCCCTGACCACCTAACTTTAGTAACTAGGGCCTCTTAGAAAACCTCAAGCCAGAAATTTGAAATTACACAGGGATAAAAATCAAGTGAGCATGCTATGTAACTGGCAGGAAATTCAAAGCAAGGAGGAATTCCCACACAGCACAAAAACACGGGTACCAGGTAGAGTATATGGCACAAATAAATTCAAAATTTGACATTTTAAAAGTCATATGAGTGAGCTCTCTCTTTAGCTCAAGTTTAATGACTCCTGTCCCTTTAAGAAGTTTATTACTTATTTCTTAGGCAAGTGTAATTAAGAAACAACCACCCATATTGTAGAATAATCAAGGCAGAAAAAATACATTTATTTGTGTGATACAGCGGTGTGGTAGGCAGAATGAAGGCTCCTCCAAAAGATTTCCACATCCTAACCCCTGGAATCTGTGACTGTTATATTACATGGCTGGGGGGCATTAAGCTTACTAATCAGTCAACCTTACAAAGATTATCCTGAATTAATCCAGGTAGGCTCAATGTAATCACAATTGTAGGAAGGAGGAAGGCAGAAGAGTCAAAACCGGGGAGATGGCATTGGGAGAAAGACTGCCTGATCACCAATGGCGTTGAAAATGAAAAGGGGCCAACAGCCAGGGAATTCAGGTGATCTGTGGAAGCTGGAAAAGGCAAGAAAATGGATTCTCCTCTAGAGCCTACAAAAAGGAATGCAGCTTGGCTGACATCTTAGTTTCATCCTGGTGAGACCCATTTTGAACTTCTGACCTCCAGAACTGAAAAGTTATAAAATGATGTTGTTTTAAGTTACTTAGTATATGGTAATATGTTACATCAGCAATAGAAAACTAGTAAAAGTGGGTAGCCAAAATATGAAGAATAAAGACCTATTTTAAATTATGCAAAAGCTCATTTTATATGTAATTATCCTTAAAGTATTTGGAAAGGAGGGTGTTGTACTTTTGTTTTCTTTGTCCCTATTTACAAGGTTTTCTAAAGTCAAATTATTATCTGAAATATGACCTTTCATGAATAAGATCAATAGAAAAAGTCTTAATAGATTTCTGGTATGCCAGAATATATTTAATACATAAGTAATATACACCAGAAATCCTAGGGAAGCACCATTTTTCCATTATAAGGATAGAAAAAGTTAATGTAATTATTCCTCATACTATGCCATGCTTTCAGGGGGTTCCCTATTTCCCATGTACTTATATAAAACTCCCAAATTATCTTTAAAATAATTGTAGCTTGTTACCACCTCACAACCTGGCCTCATTTTACTCTCTCAAATCCACCGTTAAGTTCCATCCCACTCCGCCCTCCTACCATGCTCGGCTCCCCACTCCACCTCACTATGAAATACACACTTGTTGGTATAAACCTCAGAGGACACAAATCACCTTTAACACCAACAGAAAATATAATTATCCCTAATCAATCAGATACAAAAAGTTTTAATATATTTCAAAACCAAGCTGAGTAACATTTAACTTCTCTCAGTCACTCACCATTAACCTTAACTCTACAGCATATAGCCAAGAATATTGACATTTTAAAACAAAATATTTTGCAGCATCACAACTCCCCTTTCACATCCATTGGAATAGATTCTGGACAATAAACTATTTTATATTTAACACCATTTGATGCCTTTTTATAAACACAAATTAAATAAAAATAATAATCTCTTGTTTTTATTTCATTCTATAAAATCTGTGAAAGTGTGAGCAAACATCCAATGACTAAAGTCGATTCTATAAAATTATATTTTGGGGGATCTCTACATCACACACAGAAGGTTAAACTTCCCTTCAGTAACACTGATTTTAAGATTCTTGAAGATAATTTTAATTATGACATTTTTATGTATGTGTAGAATCATCAACTAGTACCATTCCATATATAGAACCACTGTTGGTCATTAATGCTTTCAGCAATCCATAGCGAACTGAGGAAAACAAACAATAATAAGGGTTGGTTGGTTTGGTTCCCATAAAACTACCTTTTTTCTTTTCTTTTAGCTTTTCTCTCTCTTTTCTTTTCTTTCTCTTCTCTTGTTTTCTTTTATTTCTTTCTTTTTTGTGTGTGTGAGAGAGTCTCACTCTGTCACCCAGGCTGGAGCGCAGTGGTGTGATCTCAGCTCACTGCAACCTCCACCTCCACCTCCCAGGTTCAAGCAATTCTCTGCCTCAGCCTTCCGAGTAGCTGAGATTACAGGTGCCCACCACCATGCCTGGCTAATTTTTGTATTTTCTTTTCTTTTCTTTTATTGAGTTTTAGATTTTGGGGTACCTGTGAAGAACGTACAGGATTGTTGCATAGGTACACACATGGCAATGTGGTTTGCTGCCTTCCTCCCCATCACCTGTATCTGATATTTCTCCCCATGTTCTCTCTCCCCCAACTCCCCACCCCCCGCTGTCCCTCCCCCAGTACCCCCAAACAGACCTCAGTGTGTGATGCTCCCCTCCCTATGTTCATGTGTTCTCATTGTTCAGCACCCGCCTGTGAGTGAGAACATGTAGTGTTTGATTTTCTTGTGTCAGTTTGCTGAGAACCATGGTTTCCAGGTTCATCCATATCCCTACAAAGGACACAGACTCACTGTTTTTTACGGCTGCATAGTATTCCATGGTGTATATGTGCCACATTTTCCCTGTCCCGTCTGTCATTGATGGGCATTTGGGTTGGTTCCAAGTCTTTGCTATTGTAAACAGTGCTGCAGTGAATATTCGTGTGTGTGTGTCATTACAATAGAATGATTTATAATCCTTTGGCTATATACCCAGTAATGGGATTGCTGGGTCAAATGGGATTTCTATTTCTAGGTCCTTGAGGAATCGCCACACTGTCTTCCACAATGGTCAAACTAATTTACACTCCCACCAACAGTGTAAAAGTGTTCCTATTTCTCCACATCCTCTCCAGCATCTGTTTTCTCCAGATTTTTTAATGATTGCCATTCTAACTGGCGTTGAGATGGTATCTCAATGTAGTTTTGATTTGCATTTCTCTAATGGCCAGTGATGATGAGCATTTTTTCATGTTTGTTGGCCTCATATATGTCTTCTTTTGAAAAGTGTCTGTTCCTATCCTTCGCCCACTTTTGAATAGATTTGTTTGTTTGTTTCTTGTAAATCTGTTTTAGTTCTTTGTAGATTCTGGATATTAGCCCTTTGTCAGATGGGTAGATTGCAAAAATGTTTTCCCATTCTGTTGGTTGCCGGTTCACTCTAATGATTGTTTCTTTTGCTGTGCAGAATTTTTGTATTTTTAGTAGACGGGGTTTCACCATCTTGGTCAGGCTGGTCTTGATCTCCTGACCTTGTGATCCACCTGCCTCGGCCTCCCAAAGTGCTAGGATTACAGGCGTGAGCCACCGCACTGACCAAAATTACCTTTTTTCAATTTAAAATGACTTATTTATTCAAAGATTATAGTCTTCCAGGAGGGTATTAAAGTGATGAAATGAACTCAGTAATTGTCCCTGAGTGTTGTTTTTCTAATGTCCTTATCGGCAAACTAAGTCTCACCTTTGCCCACCCTGACAAGGTTTTTTTGTTTTTAATACTATGGTTCTATAAAATCCATAAATCTGGAAGCTGCTACCTAAACAACTTTGAAAAGTTGAGTGGCAAAGGACATAGTGGTAAGTTATATACAATTTTCTTTTCAAGAGAGGAAATCAATGTCTGTGCTTGTAAAATGTTAACCAAACCAGAAAATATCTTTTTGTGATAATTATGTTAACAGTGAGGGTGAATACAAAACTAAACTTTTCCATTCACAGCCATGAAGAAACATGATGAAAAACAAATCATATATGACTATTGTCTACGCCAGACTCCATTCTATTTGCTGTAATTCCCACAGGAGAGGTACAGGAATTCTGTACTGCCCATGTTTTCAGAAATTAGGACTTTCAGTTTTCTTTCCCTCTCCACGTTTCTGCTGAGAACCCAGTCTTAAAGTGTCATAAATAAGCTAAGACTTTTGGCAGATGTGCACTGTTTTGAATTGCTCATCTGTACCTATATTGCCTAATTATGAATCTCCATTATCCCCTTGGCAATTACATTAACTCCAGACTGTGGCCTTCTTAAAATCCAGACAAATTACCCAATGCCCAGACTTCTTTCTAGAAACTAAAGAGAATGCACACACTCTAAAGTTTCAAGTCAAATCTTGTACTTTTTTCTCTACCTCTTTACATTTCAGTGCAGATGAATAAGATTTTAAAACATAAAGGAGTTAATGCTTAAAAGCACACCCTACATATTGTGGTTCAAAGGCCATAATTAAAGGATCGATTCTGAACATCGTGCTGATTTGGGAGCAAACAAAGCTCATTTAGTAGTTAACACTCAGAATCCAATCCAGGTATTTTGTGTAGCTTGTGCACTGCTTTTCATGAAAGTACCTGGAGGAATGTACAGTCATTTACTAAAAATCATCAATTCCCTTGGACTGTTTTTTTTTTCTTTTTCTTTTCCTTTTTTTTTTTTTTTTTTTTTTTTTACCTTGCAACTCATTTTACCTGAACAAAGATAACAATTCTGATTGGCCCAATTTAAGTTACAGATTCATCCCTGCAGATAGTTTTGAGTTGCACTTGGAAGTACATCAAGGAGGAAAATCACTGTGGTGAACGTCCTCGAGTTTCCACAGACGACTTTGTGGTCGGCATGGTCGCCATTCAACAGCAATGCAAGCACGGACGGCCCAGGCTGGGGACGGCCCTCTAGAAACCATGCCCCGCCAGGCTGCTCTCCGGCGCACCTCCTGTCTGTTGCTGGAACACATCGATGGTGTCCTCGTCCTCCATCTCCAGCTGTGCTGGAGTGTCGGTTTCATTAATTGGCTGCCCGTCAAACCTGAATCTAATCTGTCTCATTGACAAGCCCTGCCTCGCGCAGTAGGCCTTCATCAGCTTGCTCAGCGGCGTGTGCCTCTTGATCTTGAACTGCACCACGGAGCCGTCCTGCCCAGCCACCTTCAGGTTGATGTGGTCGTTCTCCGTCTTCACGCCCTCCCCCCAACTCCAGTCTTGGACCAGGTATCCCTGCCCACTCCAGGGAGGCTGGTGGCTTCGCAGCCGCTTGAGTGGTGAGCTGGCACACCCGTCATTCCCCCATCCCCTCAGCCCCAATGTGGCCTCCAGCGCAGAAAAATCTGGCCCAGGAAGTGAGGGCATGCAGACCACTCTGGGCAGGATGTTAGTGGGGACCACTGCATGAAGCCCCTTCACTTTAGGGAAGGTAGATATGGGTGTGTTCAAAGGCACAGACGCAGGACCCAGACCTGCACACACGAGCAATGGCTGCAGCCCCGGGAGAGGCTGGGGCAGGGCAGGGCCAGCCACAGCACCTCTGCCCCGTAATAGACAGACGCCAGGAATGGACAGTCTGTCCCAGACCCCTGGTGAATTCCTAATAAACAAGTGAACTCATGAGTTAAAAAATGCAGCCCTGGGCCAGGTGCAATGGCAGGTGCAAAGGCACAATCTTGGCTCACTGCAACCTCTGCCTCCCGGGTTCAAGTGATTCTCTTGCCTCAGCCTCCTGGGTAGCTGAGATTTACAGGCGTGAGCCACCATGCCCAGCCTCCCTTGAATCTTTCTAGCTCTCTTGGTTGCACATACCTCAAAAATCCCAACAACTGCTATGCTGTGAAGAGATCTTACTTTGGGTAAAGTACTTCCCAAGCACTTTGGAAGGATTATTGAATTTAATCCTCATACCTCCCTGGGAGGTGTACACTTTACATCAGACCCCTATGACTGTAAAGGCAACTACTCAGAGATCATTTGGCCAAGATTACACAGCTAACAAGATCTGGGATTTGAACACAGGTCTAATCTGCTTTCCAAAATAACTAACCACTGCACTGTACTGCCTGTTAGGGAAAACCCATCAGGGGTAAAAAGATATTCCACTTAGTTTGTTCCCAACACATCAAAAGTTTAGTGACTACTCTTGGCAAAATACCAATGCCCCAGAATTATTGCCTTTCCTTACTGACTGGCCCATCTGACAGTTAACTGAAGAGCAGTTCTTTGCCTTCAGTGTGTAACCTTCTGGAAGGTGAGGGCTTTGTTAGTTAAATTATTATGCTAGAGTCCCAGCCAGCAACTAAAACCTAATGCCCTTTTCATGATTAATTGTTCAACAAATCTTATTTGAGCACTGCCATAATGAAGTAACTGTTAAGTAACTGAAATTCTGCTGTGGAGGACTAAATATGTGAAAGCCACGTTCCTGTCCTCTAGGAACTCCTGGTCAAAGGCACAGTAAGAACAAAGACTGCTCCAGAAACAATAAGTAAAGTTACCTGATGATCACCTCTAACCTCCTTGTCCTCTCCCTCAAATTCATAATTTTCTGGGAAATGAAGAAGGACAAAATGAACACTGTTGAATACTTTAAAAATATCTAGTGGAACGGACTAAATTGTCCTCTGTCCCTTTTATCCTTCCTGGGGGTGGAGGAGAAAAATTTATATTTTTTCTTAGGCAAATCTAGATAACTGATATCAAATTAAGAGATCTGGACAGGAAAAACAAAAGAAACCAAACAGTGGAAGTAATAAATAGATTATAATGATCTGGCCCCAAGTCTATGTCTGTTTAATCCTAGTAGTTATATAGTTTATGTAGAGTTGCAAGACATCTGGGGGTAAAAAACTAATTCCAGCACTCCAAGTAGCATAATAGGACTTCCTGAAGTATGTAGCTTACAAAAGGGTGCTGGTAGGATCAACTTTCTAAGTTGCTACTCTTCATTCATTTACCCAATATTGATTGAGTGTTCACCAGTGCCAAGAGGTAGACATTTATAGTGAGCAAGGAAGATATGCCCACAGCCCTCATGGAAGTTATAGTCTAGAAGGGAAGTCAATATTAGACAGTCACAAATGCATATTTAAATACTGACAATGAGAAGCACTATGAAGGGAAAGAAGAAGGTGTCTCAAAAGTTTACCAGACTGTATATAATTATACTTCAAAATGCTGAGGGGGAAAGAAATTTGATAAATGACCCTATTTAGATGAAGAGTTAAAAAAAAAAAAAAAAAAAAAAAAAAAAACCCTCTCTGGGAGATAAGAAAACAAAAAATACCTTTGCAGGAATAAATAGGAGTTAGTCAAAGAATGTGGAGAACAATGTTTCATGAAGAAGAAATTATAGTTGTGTAAGCCCTGAGGGAGAAAAAATTTGATTTGTCATAGAAAGTGAAAAAGCTAATGTAGACAAGAGGTAGGAAAGAGGGAAAAAGGGGAACAGAAACACAAGAAAATGTAAGGGCAGCCAACCATATAAACACACCTAAACCAAAAGTCTTTGAATGACTTCTAATAATGTCTCTGATACAAAATAATAATGACTATACAAGGCCCATATCTAAAAAAATTAGCAATTACAATACAAGAAATTTTCAAAATTCCCAAGTGAAAGATTTGGAACTGGAAAGGCTCCTCTAGTCCAAAGAGCCCTACATCTTTCAAATGAAAAAGGGAACTCCATGCGCATGTGTGAGATGCCGTTATCCTCTCTGAATCTCCTTTCTCAAGAACCCACGTTCTTCTAGCAGAGAAGAATCTTGCTTCTCCTGAAGGGTTGCTCTACACCACAGCATAACAATATCCTGTACAAAAGGGATGTGAAAGCCACTGGCCAGCAGGTCACAGGATGTGGCACAATACTATCTCCCAGGGCTCCTTTCAATATGCAAATGGATGTGGGTATCTGTCTGCAAGGGGAGACTAAGAGAATTTTAAAAAGAGGCCAAACTGCACTAAAAACCCCCACAGAAGAGACATTTTACTTCGCCCCCAATGTTACCTTTTCTTAAAACATGACAGGCGCAAGCATCTAAACACAGACAGAGCATGCCTCTATTCAGTCTTATTCCTGTTCTACGGAATTGTTCACTTGCCAAACAAACTGCCTGTTGAGAAGACCATTTATAGTTATATAAATGAGAAAAGACTACTGATTAAGGTGAACATAGTCATTTAGTTTCACCTTCTCCTAAAACTGCTCTAAAATGATTTTAAAAGACATTTTTTAAAAAAAGACAAACATACTTGGACATAAAAAATAGCTGTAACATTTTGGAAACTAGAAAGCAGAAGAACAAGTGGTAACTGATCCAGCAGACCAGAAGCTGAGTCTAAACAGGCAGTGAAAGAAAGGTGAGCCACAAGATGGTTTGCCCCTGGGACTCCCAAGGAGCTCAGGAATGGGTGGAATCCAAGATCCCTTATAAGTGGGGATGAAGGAGGGACTAAAAACAGGAGGACTGGTTCAGATCCCTTTAAAGAAGGACTTAAGTGTTCTAGATCCTCTCTCCGATTTCACATAGCTGGGCAACTGGCCCTGCCACCCTGATAGAAGACAATACCTTTTATTTTCTGCACTGAAGACCTCCAGGCCCATATTACAGCAGGAATATTGTACAGAAAAGGAGAATTTAGTGAAACTTGAGCACAGTGAATATGGAGAGCCCAAGCCCCTTTTCCCACTTGCTTCCCGCACCACTGAGGCCCAGGCTTACATTCTCCAGGTGGGAGCCTGAAAGATTCTTCTTTGGAATATCTGACCACCCCAAGAGAGAAAACCTAAAGGTATGATTATTGGGACCTTTCTGATAAAACAGCCAAACACCCATGGTGAAACACATAGTAGATAAATCTCACTCTTGCATGTAGGATTCTGAATTAGCTTCATGTGCCCCACTTTAAAATATAAATAGACAAGAATTGCCAGGCATCTAAGAAAAGTCATTAATATGAAAGACAGAAACCTAACACAGGAAAATATTTTTTAAAACTAAGGGTAAGCATCACTATATAATGAGACAAAAACCTAATACACACATACATGCACACAGGACACACACATATGCGCGCGCGCGCACACACACACACACACACACACATTCACACACCAAAGCACATCATGAAATTTCAGAAGACTGGAATTGCCAAACAAGATTAAAAAAATCACCACCACCACGAGTAAAAGCACTTCAGATACGTAAGGTTCAGGATTAAAATAGCAATGTTGCTTAGATAGCAACAGCTAGAAGCTTAGAAGTAAATGGCATCATGACTTCAAAACTATGATGGGCAATTATTTCCAAGCTAAAATTCTATACCAACTAAACCATCAGTCATGAGTCCAATAAGTAAGATCTCAAAAACACCGACTTCCAATGCACTTTGGAGTAAGCTAAAGAACACAAACACCTGGAAGCCAGCAAGCATCTTACAGGAGAAGGGATCCCCCAGCATGATAATTCAGGGGGCCCCAGTGATGACAGCCATGCAGCAGGGCTGGAAACCAACAGCCCAGATTGGAGTAGATCAGAAGCTCTGAGAAAATGTCACCAAGAAGATGAACTAGATAGAATTTTATAGCCCACCTATTTGAAACTATTAAGAGGAGATTTATACAACTCAAGAGACTGATGAGTGAATGATAAAGACATAACAAACTAAGTAAATGACAATATGTGACAATGATTAAATCAAGAGAAAGTAAGAGTTGAATAAAGAAGAAATCATAAAATGACAGTGATGAATAGTATTTATAAAGGCATAATATAAATACATGGGTTTACCCAAAATTAGAACATTAACCATGTGGGCAGAATGAAGGAGCTGGGGGGAAGTAAAGATGTGTCTTTGGGTGACTTGGGAGAGAAAACAGCGAAATCCTTAATTTCCAAAGCAGAAGCCAATAGGTAATGCCTAAACCTAGAAAAATCAAGAAGTAGCTAGCTACACAAGTACATTAATTAGAATGATGGAGGTAAATATAAATAGAGAGAGAGAGGCTAAATACAGTAGTTGAAATGGAAAAAGCTAGAGAAAGAGAAGTTTGAGAGGGGATTTGAAGGGAGGGAAGGAAGAAGTTGACCCAACAACCACTAGTTTTCACATAATAGGCTCTACATGATTACTTGATCTTTTTAAAAAAAAAGTTCACATTTAACCCTGATAAAAATAAAAACTAAATAATAAAAAGCCAAGAAATATGAACTAGAATTGAATATTCACTTCTGTATCCCGTATATTATTAGAAAAATATGTATATCTGTATTTTATAGCAAAGGTAGTACCATTCTTTTTAAAGGACTATTTTGAGGTCTTCTTTATCGTGAAGCACATCGAATGGGGAAAAAAAAAAAAAATCATTCACCTCAGGTCATTTCTTGGACCTGGACATTGACACGACATGCTGTACAAAGAGGCTAATTTTTGAACAGTAACTTGCAATGTACATATCCTTCCAGAGTGTTTGACACTGACAGCCTTTCTTATTTTGTCTCTTTTATTTATTCAGAGCCCATCTTCTCCTCAAAGAAGACAGCTA